AGACAGGAGAAACCTGTAGTCAGCAACATGGTAAGACATCAGAATAACTTAGTGAGATAAAGATGACGCAGACAGGAGAAACCTGTAGTCAGCAATGTGGTAATACCACAGAATAACTTAGTGAGATAAAGATGATGCAGACAGGAGAAACCTGTAGTCAGCGACATGGTAATACCACAGAATAACTTAGTGAGATAAAGATGACGCAGACAGGAGAAACCTGTAGTCAACAACGTGGTAATACCACAGAATAACTTAGTGAGATAAAGATGACGCAGACAGGAGAAACCTGTAGTCAGCGACATGGTAAGACCTCAGAATAACTTAGTGAGATGAAGATGACGCAGACAGGAGAAACCTGTAGTCAGCAACGTGGTAATACCACAGAATAACTTAGTGAGAAACCTGTAGTCAACAACGTGGTAATACCACAGAATAACTTAGTGAGATGAAGATGATGCAGACAGGAGAAACCTGTAGTCAGCGACATGGTAAGACCTCAGAATAACTTAGTGAGATAAAGATGACGCAGACAGGAGAAACCTGTAGTCAGCGACATGGGAATGCCTCAGAATAACTTAACGAGATAAGGATGAGACAGCCAAGAGAGAAAAGATGAACTAACAAGACGAGCAAGTGATCAGTGTTAGAATCAGGGAATGGCAGTATGGGCAGAGGGAACAGTCTGTGTGCAGGCTTGGAGATCCGAGTTGACATAAGATGTTTATTCAGTGAGCAGGCCAGGTAGGGCCAATTATATCCAAAGTGAAGGAACAGGTTTCACATTGTGGCTAGAAGAGTGAGGGTCAGTCCTGGAAGGTATTAAGTGATAGAATTTGACCTTGGTTGAACTTTCTGGAAGCTGTAGGGAGCCAGTGAAGGGTTGGCAGCAGGGTCGGTGGGGGGTGATGCAGTCACTTGGGGAGGCATGGGGGCAGGATGAGAGTCCTTGGGCCTCTTGGTGGTGTACCACCATACCAGGTGATGCTCTCCAACCCAAACCAAACCCATTGCGCTGATTCTTTCTGATATTGACTTAGCGTGCTATAGTTTAGAAGTGCTCTGCAATCTATTTCTAGCTGTAATCTTTACAGAAACAGATATCTCTAGTTCTTTCCTCCTTTGAGGTACTGCTGGGTCGGTTTGAACTGCCAACTTTTAGCGTAGTAAAAAGGAATAAGCAATTCTTTAGGAATTCTTTCTGTTAAGTGCCATTGAGTTGGTTCCAACCCATAGTGACCCTGTAGAGGGTTTCTGAGGCACGGCTAGTGGGTTTGAACCACTGACCGACCTTGTGGCTCAAACTGACCTTGTGGTCCAGCGCATTGTCCTGCAGCGCCATATCGGGACAACAGGAATTAAACAGTCGCAGAATAAATCTCTAGGAGTCAATAGAGTAATTGAAAGCAAACCCATTGCAGTCAAGCAGATTCCAACTCATAGTGGCCCCGCAGAGTTGGTATGAGATGGTATGGTAATTGCTGCTGTTATTGTGAAGTGCCTCCAAGATGGTTCCAATGCTTAGCAACCCTGTCGAGGTTTCTGAGGAGCGGCTAGTGGGTTTGAACCACTGACCTTCCAATTAGCAGCCTCAGCACTTACCCTGCAGTGTCACACCAGGACTATAGTCACAACAGTGGTAAAGTGGGGTTGGAATTTTTTTGGTACTCTTTTCAATCGAATAACCTAATAGCGGAATTTGTAAACACACAGACAAGTACGTCGTTTTGACTCATCTAATAGTTGTTTAGTGGAATTTGGCTTCATGCTATTTCCTAGTATGGAGAAGCCTTTCTTTGTTAGAGTTTGCTCTACACTCTGTTGTGGTTGTTGTGCCGTCGAGTCGGTCCCGACTCATAGCGACCTGTACATGGTTTCCGAGGAGCACCTGGTGAATCTGAACTGGCGACCTTGCAGTCTGGTGCATTAACCCGCAGCCACACACTGTTGTTGTTGCTAAATGCCTTTGAGTCGGTTCCGACTCATAGCGACCCTGTACAGGGTTTCCGAAGGGCAGCTGGTAAGCTTGAACCACTGACCTTGTGGTTTAAACCAACTTTGCAATCCACAGTGCCACACCATGACTCTAGTCTACCTCAATCTGCTTACTTCAACACAGGATCATCCGAGGGGGATTCAGGGAGTTCATGGACAAATTCCCCTTTTCCCCAAACTTTTTGAAGCCCCCTCATATGTTATGAAAGCAAAGAGCCGAGTAAATTGTAGACAGTCCAGTGTTCCAGCCTTAACCTTAGGGATGGACCTTCAAAGTCTGTCACTGAATTTCTGTTTGTTCGTTTGTGTGTTCGCAGCTCTCTGTCTGTTGTTGCTTTTGGATCACACCGTCTGATTGTGTCAAGCTTGTCTCTTCCCTTGAATTTCTTTTTCATTGAATTTGGGAATTTTTCAACCCCAGAGTTTTTTTACTCATCATTATCTCTTCTCTTAGACTTTTGATACTGCTCCAGAGGACTTGGGAACTCTACTCATGGAATCAAACACTGTTGAATGATGATGCATGGAGGGGATTGTAATCATTGCAATGAAACGAAATACGATTGGATGAACAAAAACTAAAAAAAAAAAAATCAATATGAGAAAAACCCCAAAAACTTTTATTTTTTTCAGATCAGATCATGTCTATTGATCCAACTTCAATTTCATTGACTCTTTCTTCTCTTATCTACCTTCTGCTATTAAGCCCAGTCAGTGAATTTTTAGTTTAGACATTGTGAATTTTCATCTCATTCTCTTTTGTGTAATTTTTACTTCTACCTTTTAATTCTCTGTTTTCCCTTCAATTATGAGCACATTTCTTTTACTTTATGAACCATAGCAAGACCAGCTGCTCCAAAGCTCTTCCTTGATCATTCTATTGTCTTTCCCTTGAGAACAAATTCCATTTCTCTGGTTCTTTACACTTCCTGTTTGGATAACATACTAGACAAACACTATCCTATAGAAATCGAATGTGAGCCACATTTGTAAGTTAAAAGTTTTTGGTAGCCACATTAAAAAACAAATTAAACAAAATAAGTAAAATTAATTATAATCATTTATTGAACTAAATGCAAAATATGATCTTGTTTCAATATATGGTCACTGTTAAAATTATTTAAAAGTCAAAGAATTTGAATAACTACTAAAGGAAGAAGTTCAAGATGTGCTGAAGACACTGGTGGAAAACAAGGCTCCCGGAATTAATGTAATACCAATTGAGATGTTTCAATAAATAGATACAATGATGGAACCACTAATTGGTATATGCCAAGAAATTTGTAAAAAGGAAAAAAAAAAAAGAAAAGCTACCTACCTGGCCAACCAACTGGAGGAAATCCATATATGTGCCTGTAAGAAAGAAAGGGGATCCGACAGAATATGTAAGTTACCAAACAATATCGTTTATATCACATGTAAGTAGCATTTTCTAAAGATCTATCAAAACCAGTTGCAGTGGTATCATGGGTGCCTCAAGAGTTTTCTAAAATTGTGCACAGGTGTGGGGACATGTTGGAAGCCCTCACTCCAAAACCTAGAAGGGTGAAGTTGCATATTGATTGTGTAGGCAACAACTTCTCTGACTCATCCGCCATGGTGGCATCCGGTAGCGGAATGGTTTAGAAAACCTGGAAATTAACCAACAGCATGCAAGAAGCTCAGAGTATCGATGAAATCTACAAATACAACAAGAAAGAGCTGCAGGAAATTCCGGCGGTGAAGCCCTGGACGACCCTGGATCACCATGACTTTAAATACTGCACAATCTCAGCTTTGGTGCTCCTGAAAATGGGGATGCATTCCAGGTCAGGAGGCAACTTGGAAGTGACGGGTTTGATTCTGGGAAAGGTGGATGGCGAGACTAGGATCATCATGGATAGTTTTGCTTTGTCTGTAGAGGACACCGAAACCCGGGTGAACACTCAGGCTGCTGCCTATGGATACATGGCTTCATACATCGAGAATGCCAAGCAGGTTGGCCGCCTCGAAAATGCGATTGGTTGGTATCACAGCCACCCTGGCTATGGCTGCTAGCTCTCTGGCATTGATGTTGGTACTCCAATGCTC